TAAGTGAATCCGGCTGCCCCCATTGACTTTGCTTGTTGGAAGCCCCCTGGGAAGATTGCAAATGGCAATCATGTGACCCCAGGATGCTGCAACCGTCTTAAATACATGCCAGTTGCCAAGAGCCCAATTTTTGATCACGTGACTGTGGGGATGCTGCGACAGTTGTAAGTTTGAGGATGGGTTGTAAGTCATATTTTTCAGCACCGTCGTAACTTTGAACAGTTGTTAAATGAATGGTCGTAAGTCAAGGACTACCTGTAGTAATATTATCTTATCACCTATTGGGATAAAGCAGCCTAGGGATCTGCAAACTAAATACCAGCTTGGAGGCTTTTATGCTGTTGGTATCGTTATAATTCTTTAATACTTGGTAGCTGCAGGTTTTTTTAAAAAAGAGGCTGTTGCCATAGCATAGTAAGCTTTCATCCCATTTAAGTAGCATAGACTAAAAAATCAAGATCTCTATGTTTTCCCCTTTTAGCTGAGTGATTCATATAATAATATAATCTATTTCTACATTTTGTAACAGTCAATTCTGTATGTTGGGCACCACAAGACTATGGGTTGATCCTGGCTTGTGGCAGCTCTGACGGGGCTATCTCTTTATTGAGCTATACTGGTGATGGACAGTGGGAAGTGAAAAAAATCAGCAATGCACATACAGTGAGTATAGAGTCATTTTATTGAACATTTTATGTGGCAAAGGGATGGGAAGATTTAAAGCATGCAGAACCCTTTTATTTTTTACTAGAATCTTAGGTTCAAACAACCTGAGCCAAAATAAACTTTTACGTGTGTAGAGAGGGAAAGGTAATGCCTCTTTAATTGCATAAGCAGTTCCATGCGCCATTAAACAGAGGAAATATTTTTATTGTTCATGGCATAATAAAAGAGGGATTACTTTAGTAGGGTGCCTTAGGAGGCTTTTAGAAGTGAAATGGATATTTGTTAAAATATGTCTTTAGTTTTGCTATAAATTAGAAAAAACTACATTGATTGATTGATTTGCGTAGATTGGTTGCAACGCTGTTAGCTGGGCACCTGCTGTTGTACCAGGAAGCCTTATAGATCAACCTTCAAATCAAAAACCAAACTACATCAAACGATTTGCATCGGGTGGCTGTGATAATCTTATCAAAATCTGGAGGTAAGTCAGCCTCAAAAAATTATCTAGTAGTTTCTTGTAAAAAAAAAAGAGGGAGAACACTTTTGTTTATCCTTGTTACAAAGCTGCCTTCTTTGCTTCTTCCATCTGCCAAATTATTAAATAGGTTAAAGGCTTTCCTAGCTTGTCTCCAATAGCTGTTTTATATTTTTCTCTATTTTTTCTTCATTCATTTGTTGGGCTAGGGTGGTTATGATTCAGTGCCTAATGAAGAACACTATGGGTATGCAGCAGAACTGTTTTTCCTTTGGTGGTTCAAATACCAGTTCTTCTGGATCTTTTTCAAAGGATACTTAAAAAAAACTCCCTTGATAGTCGCAAGCAGCTTCAAATTGAATTGGACTTTTATTTTGTCTTCAAAAGAAAAGAATGAGGTGATATGATAGCTGTTTTCAAATATCTGAAAGGGTAACCCAGGGAGGCAGATTCCAACTGAATTTTAGAAAAACTTTCCAGAGTACAAGTTTTGTAATAGTAGAACCAATTACCAGGAGTGCTGGTAAGTTCACTTTCCCTGGATGTGCTCAAGTACAGGCTTGACAGCCCTTTACTGGGGAAGTTTCTGTTTGATTCCTGCACTCTGCTGGGAATTGAAGTTAATTGCCTGAAGGACCTCTTGTAACTGTAAGAGTCTGTGAGTTCAAAGCAGACATAAAATAATAAATACCTTGCAAAGGGTGCAAAAATTTGTATCTCTTGGTTTTTGGAGCAGAGCTGTTTGAAACTCTTCTCCATTGCGCACTTTGATCACAAAGTAAGCAGGCCAACCCTATAGCTGCAAAACTTCTCTGTACTAATGTTGCTGATTTTGTCAAGATGACCATTTCCTTTATCACAATATAGCTACCTTTTTTTGGCCACTTTTTCTGAATATTCATCTTCCCCCCTCCCAATTTTTCCAGAGAAGAAGACGGCCAGTGGAAAGAAGAACAAAAACTGGAAGCTCACAGTGATTGGGTCAGAGATGTAGCCTGGGCTCCTTCCATAGGTTTGCCAACAAGTACTATTGCCAGCTGCTCACAGGTAATTTTAGTTTAACATTTAGCCAGTGAAGACAGAGAGATCTGTTAGTGCCTGATTACATAATACCTAACATGCTGTGAAAAAGCAGCTTATTGAGGAGAAAGGTTTGAACTTAAGCTTGTCTGGCACATTTGTTTTTAGCAGAGTTGTTTTTTAGTCAACCTTTAGTAAAAGGAATGGAGTGGTACAATTTTTGAGTGGATAGAGGCATTTAGAAATCTAGTTCCCTATTTGTAATCTGAGGCAGTGCATCCAGAGGAGACCTGTATCAAGGTGTTTTAACTACTGATGTTAGAAGTATGATATGTTTATGGATTGACAGTTGCTGACTTAAGAAACAATTTGAATCAGCTCCACGTGTCATGGGGTTGTTGTACCTGTGGCTCTGATGAGAGGATTTCCTTGTTAAAATGTCAGTATCATTCTGCCATAGGAGATGCTGAATGCACCCTTGCCCTTGTCTTGACATTTTGGTTGCCTTTTTCTAGGATGGCAGAGTGTTTATCTGGATGTGTGATGATGCCTCTGGAAACTCATGGTCACCAAAATTACTCCATAAATTCAGTGATGTAGTCTGGCATGTTAGCTGGTCCATTACTGCAAATATTCTTGCTGTGTCTGGAGGAGATAATAAAGTACGTATTAAAGCAGCTTATACCTAAACCCTTTTATCAGTCCAAGTGGTCTTTTGCTGTTACCTGTTTCATAGATTCACTTACGTGTGAGTTCCAAATGTTTTAGCTGAAGCAAGTGCTCAATTACAGCTTGTTTTTATAGTTCAAAGTAAATCAGTTTCTGATGAGGGCGTGAGACAGGAAGTAGAAGCTTATGTAATGTATGTTCCTGGTTTATTAGTCTGAGATAATTAACCTAAATCATTATCTTCCTTTTATAAAGAAGGAGATAGATTGTTACACTTTCTCTCCATATCATTCATAAATTTCATAACTTCTGTCACATGCCTATTATCCCCTTTAGCTAAATCCTTTTTTTTTTCTTACAAGGATTTACTGTCAGATAGTAAATATAGGATTGTAACCTTCATCTGTCATCAGCATTATCTAGTACACAGCTCCTAATTTTCTCCTCCTCCCTCTTCCAGTGCAGCTTTTATAGTTGTATAGTGACTATAAGACCTTATGTAAATAGATGCAGAGAAGTATAAACAAGTATAAATGGCAACAAATCAATCATTTTTAAACATGCATTGTTTAATTGTATTGCATGAGGAAAAATCCAGTCTAGCAACAGCATTTCTTCCTTCCTGCACCATCCTCTCAAAATGGATTCTACTAATTTGGGGAACCCTCCAAAGCAGAGTTTGAGAGTACTGTGGAGTGAGGGAGAAGAAGCTGCCAGAACACAGACAGCAAGAATTGCTTCTCTTGACCAAAATATACCTAATTAAATTTAAAAGCAGATATAATAAGGCTGATTGATAGCTACAGAATCTAGGGCTGTTAATGAAGAAAACTTTCAGGGCAAGATTCATGTTTGTAGAGTGAATTCTAAAATAAACATTGTTGTGGCTCTTTTCTAGGTAACTCTTTGGAAAGAATCAGTAGATGGACAGTGGGCGTGCATTAGTGATGTGAATAAGGGCCAAGGAGCAGTATCTGCCATTACAGAAGGACAACAAAATGAACAGTGACATATGTTATTAAGATTTTCAGTTTGAAGAAACAGACATGATTTTTTCTATTTTTCTTAGTAATCCAGGTTTACTGAATATGAACCATGTAAAATTTAGTTATGAATATTCTCTTGATAAAATAATATACTATGGAATGCCTTCACCAATCTGGTATTCAATAGTTTGTTGGATTCTAGCTTCCATAATTCCCTGTGGCACTGTCTGGGAATTATGAGAAGGGTAAACTAACACATTTAGAGGATACCAGATTAGGGAAAGCCCCTATAACAATTTGCCTTAATTGATTCTTTTAAAATTTCAAGGCAAAATCAACATGAAAAAATACTGTTCCTTTTAGTGTGATTTTTTTTTTAAATACCAGTAGAGTTTCATCATTTTACTTGAAAACTTTGGCAACCTTTCAGTGAGTACTTCTCTGTTAAAAGAGTCTAAGAGTTCCTCAGAGTACATGTTTTAGAAATTACATTTTTAAAACTTAATGAAATTTTCTCTTCCATCAATAGTTATTTGATAGGTAATTTGAATCTAAGAGGGAAAAATGGGAGCTGAAACATATGCACACTATGATCCAATACAAAGTCACCTTTGCTTTTTAGTTTGCCTTCATGTGTTTAACTGAAAACGTAAATTTGATCTCTAAAATACTGATACCCAATAAACATTTTGTTCTTCTTTTGGTTTTAAAAAAAGAATTAAATAAAGTCCAATTAAAATTAACTTAATTGTTCAGAAAGAAGGATGCTATTTGGTGTAATTATTCTGTACATTTTTCCCAGAAAGTTGTAATAAATTCAAAAGGTTCTTTAAGTTGGGCTTATAGGATTATTTCACTCCTGTCTTAAAATCAGTAGATAGAACAGGAAGAAATTATTGATCTGGTTTGTTTATAATGCATATTGTAGTTTGTTTGCTTTTGGTTTATGAGACAGCAATATCACAAATCAAATCATGGCTTGTTCAGCAAACCATGCATTACAGATTGTAGCTTAACAGGATTATGTAATTAAAGTAATAGGAACAAAATGTGATGTAATAGGTGTAAGGAGGAATGAGGCAGCTCTTAAGTAGTGCCAGAATAAAGAAAAGGATGCAAAAGCATATTCTTTTTCCTATTTTAGATTATTATGTTAGCAGACATATCATTTTTATTTATTTAAAAATTAAATTTAAATTAGTGTTTGTAAACAGCTCAAACACCTCCCTAATTCACTGAAGTATAAGAAGGGGAGGATGTACAGCACAACAAGACTTGCAAGATCGATGTCAGCCCCACTAGGTAGACCAGGCCGAGAAATCAATTCCACAGGAAGGCTAAAACTACTTTTCTTGAGATTGGACATAATAACAAAACCTTACAAGCTGCTTGTGAACAGTATCTGCCTGTTGTGGACTTAAGATATGTTTTACTACTTGTTGCTTTGGTAACAGAGCTCACATATCTCCGTCAAGGTCATCTTCTTTACTCTCTACACAAACATCTCCAGTATGAGGAAACACAATCAGTGACATATGTTTAAACTTATGAACATCAGAACTAGTATTTCAGCAACTATCAAGAGCTATGAGCACAAAGCAAATCTGCATAAGTTGATACAGAAATTCCATTGTACTCAGTAGGAATTATTCCCTGGGAAGTGTGGTAGGACTGCAGCTTTAAGTAAGTGCAAGATAGGATGAATAAATAATTGTCAGCCTTGTAAAGTTTTTTATACAGTGTGCATTGGTTTTAAATATTTAATTGTTATAAATTTATATCCTATATATAAAGCATTAAATATCCAAATGGCTAATAATAATATACATATACAATATGAAAGCAAAATTAAACAATCAATGGAAAATACAATAACAGCAGATAAAAACAGAATGAAAGCAAAATATCTCAGCAAGTGAAACTTGTTAAATAATTGGAGAGTAAATGAATAGACATTTCACAATTTCTGTACAAAATAATAGCAGTGGTCTTTTTTGTGACAAGGGAAAATAATATTTTCTTTGTTTGGCAGCAATAGTCAATGTTTACTCAATGGACATAAATCATCTAGTAAAATATCATACTTGTGGTATACTTAATATCCCATTTTAACATATTTTGGTACAGGTTTTCTAAAAGAAATTTTTATAATTTCTGTACTATATCCTGTTCAATTAGATTTTCGTAAGACATGTTCATTCTCCATTGCAAGTTTAGAGCGCTTCTTGTTGATAGATTTAAGAATGGTGAAAACAAACAATGCAAAGAAGGCTAGCTACAACATGACAGGAATACCTTTCTCTTTGCAATTTCACATACTTGCAACGGTGGTACACTGCCTTTGGTATCAAAGCTTGGATCCAGAGTTTTCCATATGGAAGAGCTCCTTCTAGCAAGTAGCTTTTAGCCTGAGATTCAAGCGAGAATAAGAGTTCCTAAACCCCACACCCAAAAGAGATTGTGCAGTTCATCAATTAGTTGCCATGAAACCACGAAATAATGCTATACATTTCCTAGACAACTTCTAGCTCAAAGAATTATAGAAAGGTTATGCTGCATTGCAGCACAAATTGAGTTTTATGTTTATTAGCACAGCCTCACAAATGGTCAGGTTTATTTGGTAAATTTTGTCCAGAGCTTCCATGATTTGCTTAGAATTTTATTTAAATAGCCACCTCTCTGCGTTATTTTCGGCCTGGAGGGTAGAAACATCAAAGGACTCTTTGCTTGGAAAGCACAGCCCTCTGGAATAGCATCCCTCTACAGAGATTCCTGACAGGGTTCTGAAAGTCATTGAACACTTGGCTTTGCTCCCAGGCCTGGGAGTACAGTGTGGCTGCTGAGGCCCTGACTGTTTTTCTTGGAGCTGTTTTAGGGATCCCGGGTTTGTCCTTTCAGATACTCAGGATTTTTCATGATTTTTCTTTCTCTTTTTACTGTTTTATTTTATAACATAAGCCGCCCACAGTCGTCTCAAGTTGAGCAGTCTCTAAATGTAATAAAATGAATAAATGATAAATAATTCAAACATACCTTTATTTCTGGATAGAAGGCATTTTTGCTAACCTTATGATTATATTGCTTTAAAAACAGCTTCAAAAATAGCAGAGATATTTTGATATGTATTTCCTCAGCACCATTTATATGCTACATATCCATTCTTCAGCTTTTGGTCACATGAAAAGTGGGAGTAATTTCCTGAAAGATAGCCATGTTTGTCTATTACAGGAATAACAGTAAAGAGTCTTAAAGATTAACCATCATTATTAATGGAATAAGCAAGAATTCATTGCAAATTCAATTCCTGTGGCTTCAATCAAGCCTTTTTCTTTAAGCACACTGTATGGGTTAATCACCTTACCAATGTAAGAGTACCTGAGTTACTGTCCAACAACAATTTTATCAATGGCTGCTTGTAATATAATAATTATCACTTTTTGCATTCCCTATATTTCCTTTGTTTCAAACCTCACTATTTCCAGGTCTGAGCCCTAAGACTCTAACCAGGGAATGTCAGTTTCTTCGTCTTTCCTCCACTTGTCAGGCCTCACACCAGGGATGAACAGTACATTTCTGATCTCCAAATGCTGAACCCTTAATTTAGTTCTCAGCAAAAGACTCCAGACCCAATTTGGCTAGACTAATCTTTAGTGGAGACAAGAATGAAGCCTTCAGCAAAGCAGTGCAAAGTAATCAAATATATTACATATCTATGCTGTAAAGTATACACTCTAGGCTTTTGCCTCCTACCATTGTGAACTAATGGATATTGGCAGGTCTCTTAGTGGCTCTTAGTGTCACTATGTTGACATAACAGCTCTATTTAGCCTAGATCCTGCTAGTTCTTGCCTCAACAGCCTTAGCTTTCAGCTCTTACATCACTCAATATTACAGCATCATACTGGTGCTGAGAAAGGAAAAGAAAAAAGAAAAGAAAAGGGAAGGGAAGGGAAGAAAAAGTCCAGACTCAGGCTGCTTCAGTATCAATAAATGCTTATTTTATCATGTAGTATCTCAAATACATTTTCCCAGAGTATAAACATTTAATTGGATTTTCAAATATTATCAACCAGCATTGTATGGTTCAGAAGGATGACATTTGGAGCACAGTGGTGAGACAATAACTTGTATATCCTTCAATGTGTAACTTTTTATCCATAAAGGACTTTATTCAATGCTTGGTATACATGCTTTAAAAATGTAAGTAATTCAATCAGTTCTGTCAAAAACTGACCCCATTCCAAATTAAAATGCTTTCTCCCTTGTCTTTGTTTTTTGCATCATTGGAATATATTCTTTTAATCCAAAAAATGTCAAGTATTACTTGGATTAAAAGATGTTACATGCACAAAGCAAATGTTACTGATTAGATTATAAAAGCTTTCAATACCATCTTTCTACTGATTCATATAGGAAACATTTGGTAAGAATCTTTCCACCTGTTATTTCTGTTTCCTCACATGCAAGTCTCAATCTTATTTACTTTCGTTGTTCTTCACTTAATAAAACTACTAACTCAATAGAATAATCCCTTTACATGGAACACATTAAGATATGCAATGCTTACCACATGTACCAACTTTATAAAATTAATAATTTACATATGGGTTTATGTGAGAGGCTAGTTGGTACCATATTTTCATTTTTAGTAACATCTTCAAAACAGTTTGCTTTACCTGTACAGGTGAGTGATCTGGGATATCTTTCAGACAACCGGGATGTTAGTTGGAGTGCTCTTATCTGTTCAGGTTGGACAAAAATCACAATAGTTGGCTCCAGTTTTTTAAGTCCTAAACAATCAAAGTAACAGGTAATTAAAAAACACTTCAACAGCACTTAATACTGACACATTTTATTCTAGAATGTTAATGAGTCACATCTGCTTTACTTTAAGTGAAAACAACCCCAAAAATCTGCAATGACGTTCCATTGCTAAGGCGCAGAAGCATTTTGGGACATTCATAGACCCAACACTGAGAGAGGCAGCGACGAAATAGAAATAAAGGTAATTCCTTTCCAGTAACTTAATGTCATATAATTTGAGTAATTTTCTTATTAATGTTCAGTTATTCAAATGTGACATTCTTGTATTAGGCACTTTTACTATGGTATCATTTTTTGTCAATTTTTAGATACACAAAAAGTATTTGTTAATATTTTATAAAATATAATTTTTATAAAAGTATTGCTTCTTAAGGGTTTTGTGTGTTTTTTCTCGTCATAAATGCTGCTGTATTATGTTTTATATAAATGTTTAGAATTAAACAGCTTTAGAAGACAATTTTCCATTACGATCTGTAAGTTCAGATTTAAATTTCTAGATTCATGTAGTAGTTATGGGGGACTTTAATTACCCTGACATATATTGGGACTCTGTCAAGCATGAGTCCTTCCAGGAAATTCCTCACTTGTTTTGCTGACATTGAGTGAGATGGCAGTGACTACATGTGAAATATAAATTAAAAAATAAGTAAATTTCTCCTTCAAAGATGGAGGAAAGCCCATGAGGATCAGCTATCCTCATTTTGAAACTAATCCATAGGGACAACTTAATTGAGGAAATGGAAGTAGTAGGAAAACTGGGTGAAAGCAACCATGCTATGCTGGAGGTTTTGATTGTAAGGAAAACTTAAACTGAGTACAGTCACTGGAATAATTATAAGAGGAATTCTACAGTAGGACAAATTCATAAAAAAAGGAGCTAAAAATGGGCAGGAATTCCTAAAGGAGGTGATAATTAAAAAGCACAATTTCAAATAATGCCACTGAAGAAAGAGTGGAGGACAATAGAAAATGTTAATGAGGCTGCACATAAATAAATAAATACATAACATGCACAGGTATCAGATAGGGAATACTTGGATTATATTAATACTTGTTAATAAGGTATTGGAATAGTTGATGATTACACACTGAAAGCTGTGTGATTTGCAAAAAAAGAAAAAAATGGAATATTAAACTGCATCAGCAGAAGTACAGTACGTATACTTTTCAAACAAAGGAATTAATGACAGTACTTTATTCTACACTGACCAGACTCTACTCAGAGGACAGTTTCCAGCCTTGGGTACCACACTTTAAGGAGGTCTCAGAAAAATTTGAAGAGATTCAGAGGACAACAAATGGTAATGAAGGAAACAAATTCCTCTGAGAAGAGATTGAAGGAATTAGGAATGTTTAGCCTTGAGAAGACAGATACGATAACAGTCCTTAAATATCTGAACGGGTGCTGCACAGAAATTCAAGACTGTTCTTTGTTCCAGAATGCAAAGCATGGAATAGTGGATTTAAGCTACAGGAAAGCAGATCCTGACTGAATGTTAGAAAAATCTTCCTAACCATGATTGTGGTTCATCCACAGAAACGCTTATCTAGAGTAATGGTGAGCTTCCATTTGCAGGAGGCATTTAAGCAGAGGCTACACACACTTTCATTTGGTTTCCTCCACTATTTAGGTTGGACTTGCTGGCTTAGATGGCCCTATCCAACTCTATTATTTTGTGGTCTGCATTTTTTCTGAAAGTTGTAAACAAACTAACATTTTCCTTGTTAAATATCATAACTCCCTATGATCTTTAGTATTAAGTCTCTTAGTATCTTAATGTATGCAAGGATCTTAATGGATCACATTATCAAAACTGTAGTAAATGTAAAAGTTGCATGTTTCATTCGCTGTATTTACCAGTATTTCATCCAGTCTTTATACATGAGTTAATGGTCAGCAGATGTGAATATTATGACTTATACAAATACATTCTCTGAATAAATGCTAAATTATATTCTAAAAATCAAACACCTATTGTTAAGATATACTCTAAACATATAACTTTTTCCTTAATAATTAGAAGCTGTTTTATAATAATATAAAACAAATTAAAATGAATAATTAGAAGCTTCAGTACACAATTCATTTTCTCACATTTCATCCCTAAATGGAATCTCACATTATCATGTTTACTTCTGAATCACAACTCACAATATTGTCTGACTCTTTGATGATTCTCTGCTCATTTCCCAGTAACATGAGTGAACTGTTAAAATGTATGATCTCAGCCTGTTAAATGTAAAATATTGAGTAGGTGAACAATGTCACTTTCTGCCAGTTTTCACACTGTAGTGTTCCTTTTGAATATATCTAAAAATCAGTATGGACAACTACTGGAGAAGCTGCTGGAGGACTTTATAGTGAAGATGTCTTCATTCAAGGAGCTTCCAGGTGAGGTTCTATGGCAGACTAGAATCTCTGAAGTAGCAGAGGCAGTGCAATGAAGTGAAAACCAGCCAGTGGTGATTTTGGGCCAGCAAAAGTCTTTCCAGATAAAGGAGAGAATAAGAGATTGTCCACCTGTGCCCAGGACAGCTGCTCCTCGGGAGGAGGCTGCGGGATGGAAGTCTTGTGGTTTTCTCATGAATAGAGTGGCTGGGGGCCACGGGAGAAACATCTCACACTCACAATGTGCAGCCTTTTAAAGGACACTAAGTTTGACTGACCCTCACTTTTTTAATCACTTTGGGATATAATCAATTTACAGTTGAAAAGAGGTTTCTGAAAACAGCAGAATAAAGAAAACTTCTCTGTAAGTTAGCCTTCCTTCCGAATTACAGAAAGTAACATAAAAAGGAAAATAATACTTTTAAAAGACTTTAAAAAAACAGCAAAGAGCTTGATAAAGATTTTAACTAAGAAAGTTATAAATGGATAAAGGGGATGGTATTGATTTGAAAGATAAAGATTTTGGCGAAATTGCTTTTGGCATTATATGGAATTAAATAAACAGACTAGACCTTCCTGGGAATGTTGATTGTCTGACATCAAAGGGAAAAGATAATTGGTGGAATTTACAAAACAAGGAGATAAGTATAACAGAAGATGACTATGGAAAGGCAGAATGGACTAAAGCTTTTTGGGTATAAAGAAAGAAAGCAAGGGAAAAAAAAGAGAAGCCTACCTTTTACCTTCAGCTTTGTAATTGATTTACTTCTACTTTTAGATTATAAATTTTTAAAAAAATGGTGACCATTGGAAAAGCTGCAAAGCAGGGTGAAGGAAGAAGAGGTTTGTTAGAGTAACCAAAAGAAAAGGGAATCACTTCCAAACTATTTCAAAAATTGTTTGAAGAGATGGGAAAGCAGGTATCCAAATCAGTCAAATCTGTTAAAAGTGAGCTGGTTGTGTTTGAAGAGAGAATGGAAAAAAGGTTTGTAAAGATGAAAGAGGAGAAAGAAGAAGAAGAAGAAGAAGAAGAAGAAGAAGAAGAAGAAGAAGAAGAAGAAGAAGAAGAAGAAGAAGAAGAAGAAGAAGAAGAAGAA